AAAATGAACACCCACAAATCAAAAGCATTTCTGTATATCAGTGACAAATCCTCAGAAAGAGAAACTAGTAAAAACACCCCATATACAATAGCCTCAAAAAATAAAATATTTGGGAATCAAATTAATGAAAGAGGTGAAAGGCTTCTACAATGAAAACTACAGCATGCTAAAGAAAGAAAGAAGACCTTAGAAGAAGGAAAGAACTCCCATGTTCTTGGATGGGTACAATTAATACTATCAAAATGACCATACTACCAATAGCACTGTACAGGTTTAATGCATTCGAATCAAATCCCAATGGCATTCCTCATAGAAATAGAAAAAGCAATCATGAAATTCATCTGAAAAAAATAAGAGACCCAGAATAGCCAAAGCAGTCCTTAGCAAGAAGGGGGAAGCTGGTGGCATCACTATTCCAGACCTTAAAGTACACTACAGAGAAATAGTAACAAAAACAGCATGTCATTGGCACCTGTAGACCAATGGTACAGCATACAGACACAGAAACTAACCCACATAATTACAGTTATCTTATTTTTGACAAAGGCACCAAAAACGTACATTGGATAAAAGATAGCCTGTTCAGCAAGTGGACCTGGGAAAACTGGAAATCCATATGCAACAAAATGAAATTTAACCCCTGTCTCTCACCATGCACAAAACTCAAGGGCCTAGGAATTAAACCAAAGACACTGTGACTATTAGAAGAAAAAGTAGGCCCAAATCTCTATGATGTCAGATTAGGCCTCAACTTCTTAGTAAGACTCCTATAGGGCAAGAATTAATATCAAGAATCCATAAATGGGATGGATTCAAACTAAAAAGATTCGTCTCAGCAAAATAAATTATCAGTGAGGTAAATATAGAACCTATTAATTAGAACCTATCAATTCTTCCCACACGCATGTCAGATAAAGCACTAATCTGTATGATATATAAATCACTCAAAAGCCTTAACACCAAAAACACAAATAACCCAATCAATAAATGAGCCAAGGACCTGAAGAGACACTTCTCAGAAGAAGATATACAGTCAATCAAGAAATATATGAAAAAATGTTCATCAACTAAAGCACTGTCAGGAAAGCAGTCAGAATGGCAGCTGTTAAGAATAGAAACAAAATTAAGTGTTGGTGAGGATGTGGGGGAAAGACACACTCATACACTGCTGGTGGGACTGCAAATTGGTGCAGCTAATATAGAAAGCAGTATGGAGATTCCTTGAAAATCTTGGAACGGAAAAACCATTGACCACCATTTGACCCAGCTAACCCTCTCCTCAGTCTATAGCCAAAGGACTTAAAATCAGCATACTGTAGTAACACAGCCACATCAATGTTTACAGCAGCTCAATTCACAATAACTAAACTATGGAACCAACCTACATGCCTTTCACTAGATAAATGGATAAAGAAAATGTGGTAAATGTACACCATGGAATATTGCTCAGCATTAAAAGAGAATAAAATTATGGCAGTTGGACTAAATGGATGGAGTTGGAGAATATCATGCTCAGAAAAGTAAGCCAATCTGAAAAACCAAAAGCTGAATGTTCCCTCTTTAAGTGGATGTTGATGAATAATGGGGAAGGGGGTGAAAATGGAGGAACTTTCATTGGGCCAAGGGGAGGGAGAGAAGGGAGAGGAAATGGGGCTAGGAAAGATGGTGTAATGAGATGGACATCATTACCCTAGGTACAAGTATGACTGCACATGTGGTGCGACTCTACATCATGTACAACCAGAGAAACAAAAAGTTGTGCTCCATCTGTGTACAATGAATCGAAAAGCTTTCTGCTGTATTGTATACTGATTAGAACTAATAAAAATTAAACTAAAAAAGAACACCTCTCTTCTTTATAAATTACCCAGTCTGTGGTCTTCCATTGTAGCAATAAAAAAAAAAAAAACAGAAAGACAGGGCTCCTGAGGGAAGCAGAGATCAGGAACTCAGGGTGGAGCACCAGAGCCAGACACACTATCTCCCGTGGAGAGCTCGCTTCCCTCCAGAAGCACAGAGAGAACAAACCAAGGCAATTCCTCCTGATGGCTGTTGGAAAGCAGGTCACTGGGAGGAACTACTGCTGGTACACTGTCCTCTGGCTAACGGGTTGTTTACCTCCCATCTTGTTCCTTTCATTCCTTTGTTATTAATAATCATATCTTGGTTTTCAAACCCCAAACCTAGCACAGAATGTTATTCGAATAGAAGCTGCCATGAAGCTGCAGTATGAAGAAATGCATGACCTGACTCACTAGAGCAGTTGAGTAGAATCCAGGCTCCCCTGTCCAGGCTTCAGGTACTCCCCAGCAGGGGTCCAGGAAAGGCCCTAGTCTCAGAAAGGAAGGGTATGTTTGGAAAATTAAAAAATAACTTGCTGCCCCTAGGTTTCAACTCTGGATGGACCAGCTCTATATGCCAGGTCAGTGCCATGCCACTCCATGTCAGAGCACAAACTACATGCTGCCTGTAACCACAGGATGCACAGGACAGAGCAGAGAGCATCAGAGCTCCACAGGCTTTCCCAAGTTAGCAGGTAAAGCAGACAGCCTGATATTTCAGAAAAAAATATGAGAAAAGCAACATTTTGTATACATCTGCTTTAAAATTATAGCTTTAATACTATGCTTAAAGTAAATGAATGAATGAATGAATGAATAAACAAATAAATAAATAAGACTGGGACTTATTTATAAAAAAAAATTAAAAATCCCAGTCTCATAAATAAGTCTAAGTCATATAAGTCCTAGTCATATAAATAAATCAAGTCTGGTCTTGTAGCAAGAACATCTCAATGTACAAATAACAAAAGCACATTAGGTTTACAAGGCATACGTGTGGAAAATGAGTCTCTGAACTTCAATATTATTCTCCCCAGCCCAGTAGTAATGAGCCCTTTCCCTGTTAATTGGTGATGTTTTGATTTGGACATCTGCATTTACAATCTTGCCTTCAGTGTGGTTAAGATGAATAGTATCCAATACATTTCAAAATTTATTTATAATCTATATATAATGATTGATACTATCTTTATGAAATAATTCTTTCTTTAAAAAGATCATCTATTGATAGGGTTATTTGTTTTCATAGTGCTTACGTTTTTGAGTTCTTTGTATACCCTAGAGATTGGTGCTCTATCTGATGTGTGAGGGGTAAAAAATTGCTCCCAAGATGTAGGCTCTGTATTCACCTCACAGATTGTCTCTTTTGCTGAGAAGAAACTTTTTAGTCTGAGTCCATCCCATTTATTGATTCTTGGATTTAATTCTTGTGCTTTAGGGGTCTTATTCAGGAAGTTGGGGCCTAATCCCACATGATGAAGATTAGGGCCTACTTTTTCTTCTAATACATGCAGAGTCTCTGGTTTAAGTCCTAGGTCCTTGATCCACTTTGAATTGAGTTTAGTGCATGGTGAGAGATAGGGGTTTAATTTCATTTTGTTGCATATAGATTTCCAGTTGTTCCAGCACCATTTGTTGAATATTACTCAGCAATAAAAGACAATAAAATCATGGTATTTGTAGGTAAAAGGATGGCATTGGATAAAATAATGCTAAGTGAAGTTAGCCAATCCCAAAAAACAAATGCTGAATGTTTTCTCTGATATAAGGTGACTGACCATAATGGGGTAGAGAGGGAGTGCATGGGAGAATAGAGGAACTCTAGATAGGCCAGAGTGGTGGGAGGGGAAGGGAGGAAGCAGGAGGTTAGCAATGATGGTGAAATGTGATACACATCTTTATCCAAAGTACATGTATGAAGACATGAATTGGTGTGAACATACTTTATATACAAATAGAAATATAAAAAATAATGCTCTATGTGTGTATTAAGAATTCTAATTCTTATTACACTGCTTCCACTGTCATGTATTTAAAAAATAAAATAAATAATAAAAATCATAATATTTGGTGTTGGAGAATAAACCCAGGACTGCAAACCTAGTAGGCAAGTGCTCTACCACTGAGATATACTCCCAACCGATTAAAAAAAAAAAAACAAAAAACAGTTTTGAGGTTGGGGCTGGGGCTCAGTTGTAGAGTGCTCACCATATACACATGAGGCACTGCATTCGATCTTCATAATGACTTGAAAAAAAAGGTATTGTGTCCATCTAAAACCATATATATATATATATGTATGTATATATATATATATATATATATATATATATATATATATATATATATATATATATGTATGTATATGTATATATGTATATATATTTTTTTCAGTTTGACATTTTCCTCACATATCAAATTATGGAAGCTCAACATGTTAGGAAGGGGTAAAAACTGATTTGACATTTGAAGAAGTTGAATGTAACCTTCCTTTTGCTGTAAAGATATTAATTACCAACCCAGAATAAGGTAAAAATTATAAGATGGTCCCTAAGTAGAAGACACCTTACTAGCATGTTTATGTTTCTTCCCATTCCTCTATGTCTTTAATTTCATTTTCTTAACTTAGGACATTATCTAGGAACTCAGCAAGATGTTAAAAAGAATAGTAGGAGAGGGTACCCTTGATTGTTCCTGTTCTTAATGGGAAAGTTTCAAGTTTATTATCATTAAGAATGAGGTAGGGGTGATATGGCAGCCAGTGTAAAGGCGGCAGGGGCAGCCCGCCAGCTGGGGAAAGTTGCTAACACTGGGCTAGAAGTCACCCAAGTCCGAGGGTGGAAAGTGGAGAGAAGGAGCCCAAGCACCACAGGCATAACTGGGCCACTGGTGGCAAGTCCCTGGTGCAAGCCCAGGCCAGGCCTCTGCATTTCTAGGCAGATAGCAATGGTTGGCAAGAGCCCCACAGCCCCGCCCTTCATGGAATTCTGAGAGCTTGGGTCATAATTGACCCCCCAGCATTCCAGGAGTTTCAGAGCAGAGGTGGATAGAGACGGAGGTGGTTTTCAGAGGTGGATAGAGACAGAGGTGGTTTTCAGAGGTGGATACAGACAGAGGTGGTTTTCAGAGTGGGTCTGATGGCTCACTGAAATAGGGGAGATGTCATCCTGGTTTAGAGGCCTAGGCTCCAGCTTGGGCCACTCCTTGGGTCAGGTGGGGGAAAGCTTGGCTTCCCTCACCAGCCATAAGTCCAAGGTCCCCAAGGATGAGGTTCTTGATGAATTCGCGGACGTAGAAGCAGGTTTACCTAGTTATTGGAGAAAGAACATTGAAGATACCAAATGGATGATCAGATATGACAATGAAAGACTTAAAAACTATTGTGCTGACCTGGAAGAAAGGTATGCAGCATCTAAGCTACGCATCCAACATCAATCTGCAAATTACCGAAATGAAGTGGCACAGAAAGAAGTCGAAATCAGGCAACTGAAAGCAAGACAGTTTGTACTAGAGGATGCGTTGTTGCAACTGAAGTCAGCTGCCCAACCACTGCATTCAGGAGCTGGTGGTGTACCATCAACCACTGCCCCGTCTTCATTCGGTCATGACATCAGTCACGGTTCAGCTTTTCCCGGTGATGACATGGACTTCAGTGACATCATTTCAGCACAACAAGAAATCAACAGACTGTCAATTAAAGTTTTGAGACTTGAATCCGAAGTCGACCGTTGGAGCGCTATTGCTCAGGCACAGCAAACACATAATTCAGATCAAAGTGAAATCTGCCAACTACAAAATACTATTAAGCTACTTGAACAAAACCAAAATCAAGACCTTGATAATCACCAAGGTGAAATTGCAGTTTTGCAGAATGCACATCAACAGAAACTGGCAGAGATGAGTCGCCGGTATCGAAGGGAACTAAATGACTCTGAAGAAAGAATTAAAAAACTGAAAATCAGTTACAGCAAGGTGACTCGGGAGTAACAGTAACTGATGAGTCTAAAATCTGTGACTTGCAAAACACGATTCAGGTTCTACAAAATGAAAAACAAGAGTCTGCCAGGAAGATCAAAGAACTTGAGGATCAACTAAAAGACATAAATGAACAATTATCTTTGGCACAAAATGACACAGAGGTCTTGAAGAGAGAAAAAGAGCAGCTCAGTGTGGAAAAGCAACAAATAATGGAACAGTGTGAAACCTTGAAGCTGGAATGGAGTCAATTGCAGCCTTCTGTGATGGAGCAGAAAGATGAGGAAATTGGGAACATGCAGAAAACCAGTGAACAAATAAAAGCCCAGTTGAAGGAAGACACACACAACACTCCAGCAGACAACTCTGATAGTTTCCAAATAACAAAAGTTAAAAGTCTTCGTATAGAAAACGGAAGTGAAAAACACGACCTGTGTAACCATGAAACTGTAAAAGGAGTGAAAGGAATCCAACAACAGGAACTTGAAATTCAACTTGTAAATGAAAAGACTAGGATTTTAACCAACCAGATTGATCAGCTGTCTGAAGATGAAGTTGGTCAACTCACTCAAACTATCCCTCAAAAGGCTCTTCAGGCTAAAACTTATTCAGGAAAACTTGATATGATTCCACCCCAGCTCTTGGCTGCATCATCACGTACCTCCCAGTCAGCAGAGGTCCAAGAGCTGAGACAGTCACTGCATGAAAAAGAGGCTACCATTAGGATGCTCCAGGAAAATAACCACAGGTTGTCTTATGCAATTGCTGCGGCCACAGACAGAGAAAACAAAGGACATGAAGAAATGGATTCCGAAATTAAACAGCTCAAGGAAGAACAAGATGTGTTAAAAACTTTACTGAAGGAAAAAGACCTCTTCATCCAAGTCCAAAGTGATCAGGCATTGTTATTACAGGAACGCTTGGAGAAAGCCAACCGTGTGTTGGATTCAGCAACCAGACCTACACGACAGTTACATCAAAAGGAAAAACAGATTGAACAAAGTGAGCTCCCAGGAGAAATATTGGACAATGCCCAAAAGGAATGGATGAACTCAGAAAATGGCACCAAAGGAAAAGTGGACAAAGCCCTAATGAGAAACCTGTTCATTGGGCATTTCCAGACACCGAAAAATCAGCATCCCAAAGTGTTAAGGTTAATGGGAAGCATCCTGGGCATTCAAAAGGAGGAAATGGAGCAGTTGTTGAGTGGAGATGGTGGTGGTGTTACTAAGTGGATAACGGGATGGCTTGCAGGAGGATCCCAATGTGTCCCCAACACACCTGTGACACCAAATGAGCAACCTGGGCTGAAGAGTTCTTTTTCAGAACTTTTTGTCCAATTTCTGGAAACAGAATCTCATTCATCCATTCCATCACCAAAACTTTCTGCTCATGCCATGAAGTCTCTAGACTCCAGAGGAAGGAGAAAGGAACGTGCAAAAATACCAAGAAGTGTGACAGACGCAGCAGAATTCAGAGCTGGTAAAAGAGAGGCTGTGAATGCATTCTTGGCACCGCGTTCTGCAGCTGTGCCACTGATTAGCCTAGATGGACTTGGACCTGGTGGACCTGGGAATCTCCTTTTGAATCCCATCACAGACTTCATGCCCACCTTTACACCATTGCCAGTGTTGCCGAACAATAGTGCCAGGGTTGTACAAAAGGACCTTTGAAAGCAATTCAAAGTGATTCTCAAGCCAGAAATGAGTTAGCACTTTCAAGAAGAAATAAACATTTTGTTCTTTTTATAAAGTGGCTTTTTCAAAAAGAAGCGGTGTATTTGTAGAGACAAAGAAAAAAGTTGATACATAGAAGTTTCAGGTATTTTGTCTCCCCCTCCCCATTTTTCGTGTGTGTTTGTTTGCTGTAGCACTGTTTTAAAATAAATTTTCTTTGTTTACCGTAGTCCTCTTTTTCATATGATATTTTGTTCTGATGCTATCAGGTAATCAACAGCAATAATAACCATTGTTCCAACTCCTTTTTTAAGGATCATATTTGTTACATTTAATTGTATTAAGATAAAAATGATACATTTATATAACAGAACAGAAGAAAAGTCCAACCCATATGAAACCCATATGAAAAAGATACATACCTGAGAATTTAGGCTAGCTGAAAACAAAATATGATGTAGCAAAAATTTGTGAATTGTTTAGTTTATAAAAGAAAACACTGAATAACTACTAAAAGAAAATTTCAGTGGGAGGGCCTGAACATGAAGTTTAGTGGATAAATTCTAAGATTCTTTTAATCCAAATACTATGACACCTATCCATTTTACTTCATTCTATAAAAAAGTCACTTGACTTTAACATTTCGTTTTCTAAATGTTATATTTGTCCAGAAGGAAGATGACTTTTGTCAGTCAGACCCAAAGTATAATCACATGCCATCCTTTTTAACTTGTAAGAATGTATCATTAAATATCTGGACTGTTTACATACTTTGCTCTGGGCCCTTCAGTAATGCTTATAAACAAAGAGATTTTTAAAAACATTTGATCAAGAAAAAAAATGGGGTAGAGAAATAAGACAATACAAAATTTTGAAAGATGAAAAAGTTAACAAAGGAGTAGTTTAGTCCTTTCTTATTTTGGTAAGTTAAGGTAAAAAATAAATCAAAAATTTCTAGATTAAGTCAGGTGATATCACAGAAGTGAGAAAGCAGATTATGTAGCAAATGCTTCTCTGACACCTGAAATTTCTAAAACCATTAAGAACATTTTTATTAAAATGGATTCAAATAAAATTCAATATAAATTAAATTATTTAAAGTAAATCATATTATAATTTTTATGAATTAATTTCACTAATTTATTTTATTAATTGATTCATTTTTATCTTAATTTACAAAAATAAGAAGTGAAGACAAAATACCTAGTGGCTATATAGAGCAGACAAGAAAGTGGGAAGACAGTAGAGTATATAAAACAAACACACATATATATCAAGAAAAATTTAAAAAAAATGTTAAAATAGCAGAAATTGGTGGGAGAAAAGAGAAAGAAAAAAGTTAAAAATTAAAAAAAGAATAAAAAGAATGTACAACACAACTCAAATATACTATTCAGATATCCCAGTCCTCAAAATCCTAATTCATGCAATGTACTTGGCTTGACACATGTTGGGGATGTGAGGGCAGGAGACAGGAGAGGGAGAAGGGAAAAAAAATAGTGACCAACTCTGTGGCTTGCAGTGTCAGCTGACTTAGGAGCCTGTGTGATGTTCCTGGTTACAGGCAGGCTACTGCACATAGGGGACTGTGTCCACTGCTGCAGAGTCCCAATTATTATTTATTATTACTTGTACTCTTGATAACTGCCATTCTGACTGGAGTGAGATAAAATCTTAGATTAGTTTTCATTTGCATTTCTTTAATTAGTAGAGAAGATGAACATTTTTTAATAAGTTTGTTGATTGATTGTATTTTTTTTCTTCTGTGAAGTATCTGTTCAGTTTCTTAGCCCATTTATTGATTGGGTTATTTGAGTTTTGGGTGTTGAATTTTTTGAGTTCTTTATATATCCTGGAGATTAGTTGTCTATCTGAGGTGTGTATGGTGAAGATTTTCTCCCATTCTATAGGCTCTCTCTTCAAGTTATTGTTTCCTTTGCTGAGAAGAAACTTTAGTTTGATTCCATCCTATTTATTGATTCTTAATTTCACTTCTGCACTTTAGGAGCCTTCTTAAGGAAGTCAGGACCTAAGCAGACATGATGAAAATATGGGTACAGCCTTTTTTTATTTTTTATTTTGAGATGGGGTCTCACTAAGTTGTTGAGGGGCTCATTAAGTGGCTGAGGCTGACTTTGAATTCACGATCCTCCTGTCTCAGCCTCCTGAGTTGCTGAGACTATAGGGGTACACCACCCATGCCTGGCACATCATATGCTTTTATAAGATAGTTTGCATATCTTTTTAATATGACAAAAGGCATGTGTATTATTCAGACAAAAGAGGCAGAACATTAGTACAGACCATATTGAGAAGCAGAAGAACTGGAGGTTTTGGTTTCTGGCTTTAAAAAGAGACACAAAGTACATTTGAGGCTATCTCTTCACTGATTATAGTGAAAATTCTGGGCAAAATACAGAAAGCAACTCCCTGAAGGATCTATAAAGTAAATAACAGCAGATTGATTCCAAATGTAAGTCAAAACCCCAAGTTGACCAGTACAGCAATGATTTTCCTCCTAGATTGTTTTCCTCCTTCACCTCTTAGCCTTGACTGAAGGGTAGACACAACAAAATTCTGGGTAACGAATGCAATTCATAAAAACTCCAAAAGAAGATCATTTGTATGACTAAAGAATATGATTAGAAGCTCCAACAAGTGAAGAGCATGGGGACTATCTTTTCCTTCCTTTCTTTCTTTTTTTTTTTTAAATTTTCTCTCTGTTCTGCGTCTTGCTCTGTGTCTGTCTCTCTGTCTCTGTCTCCCTCTTTGTCTTTCTCTGTTCCAAGAGCAGTCAGTTGTGGATCTGCTTTGTCTTATTATTATTTTGGCAGAAATACCCAAATCACCAAAAACTCTGATACAAATTCCATCTCTCTAGATAGAGGAACCGAGAAAAGTTTCCTAGTGTTCAAAAAGTTATGTAGGATCCTGATTTCTACACTCTTTTATTTCTCCATTAGAGACTGAGTCTAGTTGGACAGAACTTGAGAAGCAAAGTTGTATTGGACATTTAGTTCACAATAGCAGAATACTCTTTCCAGGAGGTCTCAGAATATCCACCATCACAGAACTTATCCAGCCCTTCAAGACAGGCATCAACAAATGTGGTACACTTGAATCACTGGAACTGGGTTTCTTAATAAAAACGGAATTAAGCTAGAAATCAAAAACAGAAGAACTCTGGGAAAATCCCCAAATCTGTAGAAATTAAATGACACACTTCTAAATAATGCAGTGGTCAAAACAAAAGTCTCCAGGGAAATTAGAAAAGATTTTGAATTGAATGAAAATGAAAATACCACATATAAATATCTGCTCTATACAACTAAAGAATTGCTTAGAGGGAGATTTATAGTAATAGATGCTTATATTAAAAAATAAGAATGGGGGCCAGGGTTGTGGCTCAGTAGTTCAGTGCTTACCTAGCATGTGTGAGGCACTAAGTTTAATCCCTGGCACTACATTTAAAAAAATAATAATAATAAAATAAAGGTACTGTAAAAAAAATTAATTAATTTTTTTAAAAATAAGAATGGTCTCACAGCAATAATTTGAACTTCTTCCAAAAGAACCTAGTAAAGGAAAACCAAAATAATCTCAAATCAAGGAAGGAAACAACAAAATAAGAGCAGTAATCAATGAAATTAGAAGCAGCCGGTTGATACAGAAAACTGTATAAGACAAAAACTGGTTCTTTCAAAGATCAATAAAATGTACAAAGAGCAATAAGGAAAATCAGCTCTTTGCCTATGCATCTAGCAAATCTATCTAGATGACATGAAAGAGCAACTTTTTGAAAAACACAAACTACCAAAACCTACTCAAGACGAAATAACCTAAGCAACCCTATGTTAATTGAAGTAATTAATTTTTTTAAGAAATTCACAGTCAAAAATTCTAAGGACTCCATAAAATTAAATACTGTTAGATAAACTGGCTTACAAAAATTTCAGGACACAAGATCAATATGTAAGTCAACTTTATTTACATACTAGTAATGAAAAATCTAAAAATGAAATTAAGAAAATAATTTGATTTGCACTAGCACCCAAAAGAATAATAAACTTAGGAACAAAACCTACCACTATACATTGAAAACAGCAAAACACTGAGAGAAACTAAAATCTAAATAAAGATACTCCATGTTTATGATAAGACCCAATATTAGGTCTAAAGGTAACAGTTCTCCCTAACATGATCTACAAATTGAATACAATTTCTGTCAAATTCTCAGAAGGTTCTTCTGTAGCAATTGGCAAATTGAGTCCAACGGAGTACAAAAACACAAAGATTCTAGAAAAGTGGGACATTCCTGAATGCCTGAGAGGTCATTCCCAATCATACCCGCATTAAATATATGCATGACCATCAGATAACACTAGGTCCTTCTTAAGATGCTCACCTAAAACTAACAGAACGTGTCTAGTTACATTCAGCTTATTTTTGTCAGTTTTTGACACTACAATAAGGAATTCAAGAGCAAACATCTCATACAGAAGCTCCTACCACGTGCCACCCCAGCGTTTGGAAACCCAGGCTTTAACATGCTGTGCATCTGCTACTTGTGACAATCCTACCCACAAAACAAAGCAAAGCAAAGTAAAGTTAGAAAGATTTTGGGAACTGGGTCCCTCTTGGATTAGAAACAGAAAAGACCAAGGACAAAAAAAATCAGAGCCAGCGCAGGAGGCTCAAGACTTAACCTCAAAGGCCAAGGTGGTGTCAAAACCAGAGCTTCAGGTTACAATGCAATGGAAACAGTATCTAGAACTGGGGACCCCAGTAACCTCACCACTGGGTGTAACCCATCCTCCAGAGAACACTAAGACCCGAAATCTTACTATTTTGTGTCCAGTGCATGGTACAAAAGTGGAAGCTTAAATGGATGGTCCTAGAGGAGTCACCATCCATATTGACCTGCACTGGTCATTCACTAAGGTTCTAAGACAAATGCACAGAAAAGATTTATTTTCTTTTAAACTACGCAAAGAAGCATGTCTACACACACACACCAAGCACACATACAAGATACA